CCTAAAACTGCGAATATAAAATTTGATTTGCAGGTCCGGGAGTAATTCTGGGTGTAATTCGTACAAGAAAGAGGAATTTCGCACTTCACAAGTTGAAAGTAAAGAGAGATCAATATTGACATTACTGAATTGTCCTTTATTTAACATCAATTTGACGAAATAACAAATGGAGGACTAAATTGAGCGAAACACAAAAGTCTGGGACGATATTAGGTTACCAAAGTCATTTAGGACGAAATTGAGAAAAACCACTATAGTCGAGGACGATTTTGGGTATTAACTCATTTTTGTTCTGATTGTACATTATATTGTATAATGTACATTCTGTACAAAAATAATGTACATTTAATATATTAAAAATGTAATTTTTATTATGGTCCGCATAACATTGTGTGGACCATGTTCCATACAATAATTTGCCCAACCCACTGGATGTATTTCTTTATTTAGTTTTTAGTATGGGCCCAACACAATAGACTTATTTCTTGTATTAATATTTGTGCTGTTTTTTGGGTAATGCAAGTGTCACATATGATATATGGCAATTTGTATTGTGCACTAGGGTGCACATTACATTGTACGTTCTGATGTAAAACGACGTCGTTTTGTACTCTTTTTTTTTTTTTTTTTTTTTTTTTTTTTTTTTTTTTTTGGAAATTTCGCTTTCCGTATGTAGGCTGTTAACTTCTTAAAAAAAAATTCATGTTTCGAAAATATATATAATTGTATAACAGAATGTACATAATTGTATAACAAAATACACATACTCTTTTTTGAAAAGATAATACATATAATCTAACATAACACATAATACACATAAACTCTTAACATAACACATAATACACATAAATTTCCTATTTCGTATGAACATAATTGTATAAAAAATGTACATAATGGTATAACATAATGTACATAATTATATAACAAAATACACATACACTCTGTCACGTCAACTCCCTACACAACTTAACAAAACGACGTCGTTTTGAAAGGCGTGGGACGCACAGTGCTATGTGCGCCATGGTGCAGGGTATAAAATGTATAGTTTAACTATTAAGTTAATCTTTTAGTTTGAACATCCTGAGGGATTGAATCCGCTCTTGGCTCGCGACGTCAACAAAGTTGCCTTTAGTAGATTCCATTACTTTCCCGGGGCCTCGGCCCTTCCTCCTATCAAAAAAAAAAAATATGTATATGCTTTTGCGAGGGGCATCATTAGGAGAGGAGTGTGATTGGAAAATGGCTAGGCGATTTTAAATATAGATTGAGGATGCCTTTAAGCTAGTATTATCGTAGAGTTTTGGGCTATTTTGATATGATTTCACATCGGGTTCACAAAAAATAATTGTGAAGTGGTACTTAAAATTGAGATCAAACTTTTATTTTTAAACTGATTTTTGTAGTGAAGGTAGGATTTTGACTTGAGTATTTATCATAGGGTCCATAACAAACGCAACAGAAGATTACATAACGGCAGTGAGCGTGCCACCTCTGCATCTCAATTTTTTTTCCCTTTCTCTCTCCACATATCCTTGTTGGCACTAACAAAAACTCAAAATAGGTTTTACTACTACTGGCGTTGCTATTAATCTCCTATTTGGACCACTGCCTTCCAAGTACATGCAACCCGACCCCTACTGTTTTTATATGTTATGAATGATCTGACTTTGTCACACTTTATATTTTATAGTTTATATTACCTTCTACTATACATATTTTTTTAAAAAAAAATATGTGAAAAGAATGATAAATCATTCCATTCCTTATAACGCAAATAATCTATCAAAATGATTATCCAATTCAATATAATAAAAACTCCCATTTGAGGCTCGAGGGCTAGAAGGTAATCTTAATTATAACAAATTATTTGATAATTCAAACTCTTTGACCATAACAAGACAATCAAAAGCGTCGCTTTGAAAATTATATTAAAAATAAAAAGAAAACGTTCATGCAAGCGGTACAAAAATTTTCAGAATTCAGGGGAGACTTTTTTGTACACCTACTGGGGATAAAAACGATTACATTTAATTAGTACGATGTAATCATTGTTTTTTTTGTTTTTTTTTTGTTTTGTTTTGTTTTGTTTTTGTTTTTTGTTTTTTTTTTGTTTTTTTTTGTTTTTTTTTTAATGTTAGTCGGTAAAGACTTGTGACTATTACATCCCAATCTTGTGTAATAGTCTGTAAAAATCATGTATGATGGTCTCAATCGAAAAAGTGTTGGTAGGAATTAAACTTTGTAACATTTATGTACAAAATGTTAGATATATTTGTAGTCTAGCGATTAAGTGAATAATCTTAAATACGAGGAACCTGATCTCATAGTATCGGAAGCAGAATTAGTACGTGTTTGATCCTCTCGTGTTGTGTTAATTACCTCTTGAATGGTAGACCTGGAAAGTAACGTCAGCTGTTTTGACTCATAACACTAGATGGTGTATTAGTATTTTTCTGAGCAGCACGAGTCTTGGTATATCCCATTAATATATATAGGTTTTATTAGGCACATAGTCTACTTGACTAACAACTCTTAGTTATTCAGTCCAACCAAACCAACTTGCACCACTTAATTAAGGCTTTAATATATATTCCATAATATATTATACAGAAAAATCTTACACAAAAATCATGTTCTACTCATTCGATCATCTATTTCGTTATATTTTTCTTTTTTCCGAATGGAATAATGTTGTTTATACTATATGTCGGTCATAGATTCCACAGCTGCATGTTGTCAAAGCTAAAAAGTAGTCCAATATAACGTAACGAAAAACGTGATTTAAGTGAAGTTAATTTGATTTTTTTTTAAATGTGTGTATCTCGCTTGTGAAACGGTGAACGAATAGAATCGCTCACATACTAGTTAGAGAAGTTTTTTCTATATCTTATTATAGGGAATGGGTTGATCATCCCCTTCTTTAATTTCCTTTGTTATGTTTTGTGTTCGAATCTTAGTTGAATACATATTTCATTTTTTTTTTTAAAGTTAAATTAATTTGAACGTTATTAAGTATTCGGCGAATATTCTAAAAATATGGTTTCTCATTAGTTGAAAGGGTCGTGGTAGTAATATAAATAAATAAATAAAAATGGAAAAAGGCTAAAAACCAGTAGTTTTGCACAAAATGTTGAAATTAAAACGAGTTAATTTTACTTTTAATCTTCAGTTAGAATAATGTTATTTTTCTTTTTAATTTTACCTCAAAATATTAATTTTCTAATGTGATAATAAAACACTTTTTATTTCTTGACTACTGTATTTGGCCAAGCTCACCCCACGTTAATTTACTTTTTTTTTTTTTTTTTTTTTTTTTTTTTTTGAAAGCAAAAATAGCAAGATTCAATTACTGCAAAAGAGAACCAAAGAGGAACAGAATTCCAGTACAAAGGACTAGCCTGAGCAGAGACTTTTGAAGCTAAAGTGCAAGCAATAACGTTCAAATGTCTAGGAATAGTAAAAAGAGAAACAGAAATAAACGAGGATAGCATGGCTTTGCATTCATCAACGACCACCCTTACGTAGAACCTGGGTGTGGAAGCCGACTCCGAGAGGTGACGCTTCAGGACCAGACAGTCGGTGTGTAAGGCAACGGTGTGGACCTCTTGATTCCTCAGCCAAGACAACGCCTCCTTGCAAGCAAGAGCTTCCGCCGTGAGTGCATTATATTGGGGCATACCGGAAAACCTCCGTTGGCAACCGCCAAAAAAGAGCCCTCGGCCGAGAGGAGAACCAGACCGTAGGACAAATATAAGAAGGACAAATTATATATTGCCACATAAAATCAATAGGAAAATTTATTTTAATGATTAGAAAAACCCGCAACCACTATTCGAGAGTGTGCATTATAAACCTCACTTTGATATAATAGTTTATAAACCACACATGAGATAAATCATACTATGAAGACCTTACATGACAAGCTCGACTAAGATCGTATTAACAAAAATAAAACGCGAACTTTATATATCGTACGAGAATTATGCTCCATGCGGAAGTTTAGTCTTTGAAACATATACTAGCGTTATATATTATATAGTCTTGTAAATTAAATTTGAATATATTATTGTAAGAGAAATTGCCACCGTCAGATCAAGTCATGGCTTTAAATTGTTGACTACAATGGGAAACGTCAAACGTTACTATTACTCCATGCTCACCTCCCGGCCCTCACATGCTAGAGTTGACTTTCCAATCTTTTACTTAAATCTCCATCACTAAATACCAATAATACACACTTACAAATGAACAAACTATAACATAGATCAAATTAATTAATATTATCAACAAAATTAAAGAGTCAAAAAGTTACAACGGATCGAAAAAAATTCTTTAAGTGTTCACAGAATACAAATCTTTTTTTTCAAAACATCAAATACTACTAATCGAATATTTTACTTTAAACGCCATCAAAGACAGGCAATACAGAAAAAAAATAATTATATTCTATAAGCACTTAAGAATCTCTCCCACACAAAAAAAAAAAAAAAAAAAACTATCTAGGAGAGAAAAAATGGCTCTAAATTAAAACAAGCGTGCCATTTTATTTTTTCACTCATACGATATCACCACCATGAAACTAATTCAGGGGTGTGTTTGGTTCGCACATAGAAATCGGAATCAAAATGTGTATCAAATACTTGGTGATGGTAATGGGTTTTGGTGAAAGTATTTAACATGTTTGGTAGTAGGGTGGAATGTGAATAGTTACTAATAGTAGTGCTTGAGAATGGATAAGGGAATGAAACCCTTATTGTATTTGGTTATGAGTTTTTCAATTGATGGGGTATTCGATACACATAGTAGTGTTCTAAAAACCTATCAACCAAACAACAACAATCACTTTCAGACACATTACTATAGGCAAAACCCACCAACCAAACACACCCCAGATTTAACTGAGTCATGCTCATTTGTTTATCGAGTTCCCTACTACATGTACTCTCAAATTTTACTTCCTCACTTTTACTCCCTAACAATGATACCACATTTTTATCATGTAAATCTAGAAAAAGTGTTTACATAAAAAATTTATGAGAAAAAGTAAAAATTGGGAGTCCATATATTATTTTCCTTTTTTATCATGTCCAAAGGGACTCTCTCTTGAGAGGGTCTTGCATAACCGCGCTGCTAGAGGGGGCGAAGCTGAGATACTGCTGAAGGTTGGTACCGAAGTTAGCGGTGGTGACGGCGGCGGCGTTGATGGTTGCCGGCGAGAAAAGAAGCGATTTCTGGTGGTCGTCGTCGTCGGGGAACGTTGCCGCAGGGTCTTGGTGGTGCATCTGGATGCAGAGTATCTCGGCTTGTGCGACGGCGAGCTGCATTTGCAGCTGGGATACCTCGTTCTGCAAAAACGAGATGGCGCCCACGCATCCGTACACCGGATCTCTCACCCGCGCGTGCGCCTCGTACACCAGACTGCTCACCGCGTCGCCTCTTTGCTTCACCGGAACTTCCTGAACATATATATATTTCATCATCATCATCATCATTATCATAATAATAATAAAACATAGATATATAGATATAGATAAGAAAAGAAAGAAGCTAAGGTACCTGCAACATCTTGCTAACGTTGCTGGCGCCGAAGATCTTATGAACAATGGCGAATTTGTGGGGGTCATCGGAGGGGAAGTAAGGGGCAAAGATGCAGTCCTTAGCGCAACGACGTCGTAACAATTTGCAGGAGGCACAGGGGGAGTTCCCTCCCATTTCTTGCTCTGATTTCTCAACGATGAATATATATGTATATGAAAAGGGGTTTTAGTTTTAGCAATTAAGATAGAAGGGAGAAGAAAAGAGGGTATGTAGTCTGGAAGATAAGGAGGTGGGAATACCTATTTATAATACTCCAAAGAATTGTTCCACCATATAATATGACCATCAAGTCCAATCAATCCTTTATTTATTTATTTATTTGGGGTAATTTTTAATAAAATATTAATAAATACTACGTAAGACATGGTTCAAAGTGGATTTTCATAAGGTGGAAAGATAGTGATGGACAATCAAGTTTCTAAGATTGGTTATAATTACAAAATTAGCTTTGTAGGTTGCTAAGTGCATGCACATCAGTGCATTTTTCACAATTTTTAAGAATGGGATCGAGTGCCAATATAGAGGAGAGAGATGTAAGAGAGAAGGTTGAAGATCACTCATTTCTACGAACGGCAAACTGACCCTTTTATTTATAAACTTATCCACTGACAATAACCGCCTTCATTTCTACCGTGATCGTTAAACTGCTAATCAACCCATTTTGCTTCTTTAAATTACCCTTCAATTACCTACTCAGATCACTCTCACATCTCATCTCTTCTTTAATTTCACTCTTATAGCTTTAATACACAACTAATTCATCCGAACTATAGTTGGTATTGTAGGTTAGTTACTGCTCTCATCTTAACCTCAGCTCCTTAACTTAATTAGCTTTATCTTAAACTACATATATACTCATTTCTAGCTTAATTAATTATTTCCGTTTATATGTGTGCAGGAAATATCATATCATGCTTCCTCTTCCTCTCCCCCAGCGTAAATTTTATTTCTTTTATTATATTATAAATTTACGCATTATATATATATATATATATATATATATATATATATATATATATATATATATATATATATATTATTTATTTATTTATAAGAATAATAATTAGTCGGGGACGGGGCAGGGCGGGGAGGAGTATCCCCGTCCCGGCCCGTCCTCGACGGGGAATTAAAAACATTCATCGTCCCCGTTTTCCAAAAATTTTCTACATCCCCGTCCCTGTTGGGGCGGGAATCGAGGATCCTGTCGGGGACGGGGCATATTGCCATCCCTAGCAAAAATGCACCAACTAAGCCTCGTGTGGTTATTACACCTGCGCCACGCGTTACATGCGCGGACACATTTTTTTTTTTAATCAGCTTTGTTGTATTTTTTTTTTCTCTTTTTTCTCTTCCCTCTCATATTCTTTTTCCTAATCACACTTACAAAAACTCCTCAAAAAAAAAAGAAAAAAAAAACTAACTATTACGGATGCTCTTATATAACCCTACTAGGAGTGAGTCCAAATAGTTCGACGTTCGAAATGGGCAAATTATGCGGTGCAACCGTGTGCACCATGCATGGTGCACAGGTTGCAAAAACGACGTCGTTTTGACTAAAAACGCGCATCCCACTTAAAAAAATTAATTCAGTTTCGATTCATGGCAACAGCATTATGTTGTGCATAATTTGAACTAAAAATCCAGAATGAATGAAAAAAATCAGTTTCGATTTCCGTCTAAATATCCAAAATGAATGAACTAAAAATCCAGAATGAATGAACTAAATATCCAGAATGAATGAACTAAAAATTCAGAATGAATGAACTAAAAATTCAGAATGAATAAACAACATAATGCTGTTGAGAGGAATCGAAGTTGATTTTTTTTTTTTTTTTTTTTAAAGTGAGACGCACGTTTTTAGTCAAAACAACGTCGTTTTTGCAACCGTGTGTACCATGCATGGTGCACACGGTTGCACAGCATAGCCACTCTTCGAAATTATGCTCAGCTAGACTCAAACAAATTGAAGCTTGAGTTCAATTAGGCTTCATTTTATTTTGAGTTTAATCTCGACTCAACTCTAGTTTAAACTTTAGAGTTCAACTTAATTGAGCACTGATTTTCTATTTTTTTTTACAAAATTTTATAATAATAATAATAATAATTAAAAATAATAATTTACAAACAAATGTCATAACAAACTAAATATCACATCTCGATTATGATAATGTATAATATACGTAAATATGAATACATAAATATATTAGCTAAATTTGTAATACTATATTAGTATATTTATATTACATGAAGAAAAAAAAAGGTTCAAGTAGACCTGCAAGTTGCTAAAATGAAGTATAAGATATTAAATTTGACTGATTAGTTACTTAAATTATTCGATCTCAAATTCTCCTCAATTTTTCAGTAGCCAGATCAAATTAAAACATTTATGAAATCGAACCTAAATAGCTTGATTCGCATACTCTCCTACTTAAAATGATGGCAATATGAAACTAACCATAAATGGAAATTACGTCCTTTCAGGGTGGCAAAAAATAGAAACCAACATGCACGAGCAAGTTTAGCTCATTGTTCAATAGACAATATTTTGGAGAAGAGACCAATGTTCGAACTTCAGCAGCGACACGATGGTGTAGGAATTATGCTCAAAATAGACAGATCTCTTGTATGCATCGACATTATATTTGGCCCTGTCAATCAAAATATTATATAAGACCGATGAAAGAGATAAATCACAAAATGTACTTTCATATACCTTCTGTTTTCGTCATTGGTAAGATTCTACCCAAGTAGGATCCTCAAAGCCAAGCCAAGGCTAATCTTATGTGGGTCACTATATGAGTCAGGTCTTTGAGACTAGGTTGCAATATTTTTTAATTATACTGAAATGTCTATATTTTGTTGTGATAATTTAATTAAGTTTATTTGGATTTATTATTATTTCAGGCTATGAAATCTTATCTAAAGTTTGTCATTATTTAAATGATATAAAAAAAAATATTGTTAGTTTATAGTAATTGAATTAAAAAATTGGATAAGACAAGGGCAATAAATTCATGACTAAGCATCTAGGGTTAGGGTTTAGTGAACAAGAAGAGGGGACGTGAAACGATGTGGAAACCTAGCCCCGAGCAAGAGAAAGGATAGATGTTCTCGACATGAATGTTTGTTGGCGACATTCACATGGAAACATCAAATTTTTCGTAGATACAAATTAGTAAGATTTTTATTTTTTTGAGTGACGAGATCTAGAAATTTGTAATCATTATTTGAAGATGTGTACTTGGTAAATTATGTTTCGGTGTAATAGTTCGTAAATGCATTCTAGTACAAGAATCATACCGTCCTTTCATCCTTTTTGGGACTTTTTTCCGGGGGTGGGGGAGGTGAGGGGGTGGGGTGGTGGTTTAGCTCACATGCTACCATCTAACAAGGGTCACCAACATATTAAATGGACTTAGTTGTGAGTTTTTTATTTTTTATTCGGCAACATGCATATAAAATTATTATTATTATTATTATTATTATTATTATTATTATTATTATTATTATTATTATTATTATTATATGAACTTTGAAACCTATATTATTGGAGTTACCTTCAAGAACTTATAATAACAAATGAAAATGAAGTTAGTTGAAGATATGAGAAGCAATGTTATTATGTTAATCAAGAAAATATTATTAAATGTAAAATGCATGATTGCATGAAATAATATAATTAATAATAAAAAATACTTTTCTTTTTTGTATATAGCATTCGATAAATTTTGCAGTAGTAATATTAACAATTCACCTATTAACTGTAACAAATGGTTGAGTTAATATTAAAAGTAGTTGATTGTAGTCCGAATGGAAAATGCTAACCATATTTATAGTTAGTTCTTTTTTTTTTTTTTGAATGGTAAAAAGATTTATAATTATTACTCAAGATGAAACTTTATTTAGTTTTTTATTAGTTAGAAGTGGTACCTAAAATGAGATTGTATAAAGTCAACTGGCAATGCTACTTTTGAGATTCTGGACTTCCTATCTCAACTTTTGTCCTTTCCTTATAGTGTTTGCATTTTTCTTTTTGTGGCTCAATGGTCAATGAAATCTTCAACGACAAGGATATATTATCTTCCTCAATTATCTACTAATTTCTTTTAATAAATACATTCTCAGGAAAACAAAAAACAAAAAAAAAAAAACAAGAGTTTCCTTGAAGTTTTGGAAAGAAATTAAAACATAAAATTAAAACACTCCTGAAAAGTTTTTTGTGCATCATAATATAAAAGTGCAAATCATCAAGAATTCAAAAATACAATTATATTTGCGTATACTTGGATAGTAACTAATTAACAATCCAACATGTCTCGAATGCACATCAGCAACATAATAATGATCCTTCAAGCCAACACTTGATAGCCTTGACCACAAAGCTTAATTACTCATTGTTCAAATAAAGCGTTCACCACAACGTCAGTTCAAAAGTTATAACTTGTAGCAAAGAAACAATTAATTTTTTTTAATATTTGCATAGTAACTAATTGTATGTCTTAAATGTACATCGATGATAAGATATACTTATCCTCCAAACCTTTACTCAATAGTCTGGAAACTAAGGTTAAATGAGGCAAGATCGATACTTAATCCTAATTATTACATGGTAACTAATTGCATGTCTTAAATTCAAATCGATGATAGATATATACTTGATCCTTCAAACTTGTGCGCAATTGTTTGAAAACTACTCCAACATTAAAGGCTTTTTATTGCTCTGGACATAAAAAATGACGAAAAAAGTAAATCGCATGATATATCTCAACTAGTTTATAGGTTGTTAAATGTTGACTACTAGCAACAAAGAATGCAAGTTTCAAGTTGAGAAAACACAGAAATGTATAGTATATATGTAATTCCATAAGCCAGTAATCACATGCAAAAGAAATTTAATTTAAGGATTTGGTTGGGAAGAAATTAATTAAATGAAAAGATTCCACAACTGTTGTGGCTTTGCAAGGTGTAATTAATAAATGTATGTATCACGAGGCTTCTGAAGTGATTCTCCTAAGTTAATATATTAATATAAGACCATTATTATTATTAAATTATAAGCACTAATATAAGATGGATTGATTCTCACTCTTCTTCAATCATTTAATGCCTTCCACATGATTCCAAACTTCTACTCTTCTATTCCGAGGAAAACAGCTCTCTTTCCCTAGTAGCTTAGGCATTCTTTATACTCCACTCCCTATTAATTTATCTTATTATTGCCAACAAAAGCAAA